AACACTAAAATGTGATTGCTCAGAAATCAGAATGTTCTTAACTTTATGATGTGAAATAGCAGCACATCTATAAAGAAGTGGACAATACCAGGTGGTGGAACAGCAGTAACTGCATTACACAATGCACAGCTAACATTTGTAGCTCCTGTGGGATAGAAGAGGACAGTCCTACACCCATTGCACACTACTTGGCTCTACTTATCTGCAAAACCCAAAATTTAGAAAAGACAACTCATAAGACCAACTGAAACTCCCTATTCTTTTCCAATTCATTCACATCAAATTTCTACATTCAGTAATTTCACATGATCGCAAAAGGACGGACAAACCATATAAACAACATAAATTAACAAACAATTTAAATCCTCCAACGTATCAAATTAATTCAATTCCGTACAAAAAAATGCACAAAAAACAACCTTTTACTAATTTGACCCATTAAACAAATCCAAGAAAAACCCATGGAAATTACATTCACAACTAAAACAAGAAAATATTAGATTTTATAAAGAAAATTCACCAATCTTTTCAACCCAGGAAAGTGAAAGAAAGAAGAAAAAGAAATTTAGATTTTAGAGATACCTAAATGCCAAAATAGTATGGAAACTGAAAACGGATTGAAATTGATTATCCAATCACAGCACATGATAAAAGATAGCCAAAAATCAAGATTTAGGCTATTTATTCCAATGAATTTCACGGAATATAGCTATACCCTTCAATCCCACTGTCTATAACTGTAAAAGTCTCTATGAAAAAATCAACCATTAATACAGGAACAACACTTTTCAAGCTTATCCACACATATATAAAGATTACTGAACTGCAATCCAAAAAACTGGATACACTTCAAGATTTTGCAATAAATAAAACAAAGAACCCAATTTGAATCTCACCCGAAAAACAAGAAAATGAATATTAAAGACACAAGAGTAAATGACTTACTAGAAGAGGGGATAAGGAAAATAGACTGGAAGAAGAATAAACAGGAATCGCCGGTCGGATTTTGGAGAAGTTGCTGGAGATCTAGGTTTTGATTTATCGTAATTATGGGAGGTTTTGAAGGTTTGAAGCTAATTATTGGATTTAAAAAAAAAAAGGAAACAAATATTCTTGTGGAAATTACACAAATCCAGGTAGTTAAAAAGATTGGTTTTCAAAAATCAGGTTTAAAGTTTACTTATTCAATAATCAGGTAATAATTTCATATTTTAATAATTATAATAATATTAAAAATTTAAAACCCTAATTTATCATTTCTTCCCCCTCCTCTCTCTATCTCGTCTCTCTTTTCTTTCCCCTCGTCTTTCTCTATCTCTCTATTCTTTCCCCCGTCGCTGCCGCGCCGTGGTGTGTCGTCGGCATCAGTCGGTGCGATGCTACTGCTAAAGTTAGCATCAATCGACTGCAACGCCGTGACGCTGCCATTCACTGCAACGTCTTCTGGCGCTCCGCTTGGTCTCAGGTGACTCGTCATGACGCAGCGACGACGGGCGACTTTGCAAATCCATTATTCTTTTTTTCATCTTTTTTTTATACAGTTGGGCACGGTTGTGTTGGTGGCTATGGCGGAGGTTTTGGTGAGGTCGTCCTCTCCCTGCGAACGACGCTGCAGTCATGATGATGGTAGCTAGGATATGTTCGAACGACGGTGCAATGTTGTTTCGAACTCGTCGTCGAAGAAAAAATTGGGGAGGGATCTGAGGTGTTTTGTGTGGGGGCGATTGTGGTGGTGGATCGGCGGTTAGGGTGGTGGGGATGGATCTAACGGTTGGGATGGTGTTTTGTTTGGTGGGTGGTGGTGATGTTTTATGTGGTAGTGATCTGGCGGTGGATCAACGGTTGTGTCGTGGTGGCTGTGGTAGTGGATCATCGATTGGGGTGGTGGATCTAACGATTGGGATGGTGATGGTATTTTGTTTGGTGGCTGTAGGTGGTGGCGGTGTTTTGTTTAGCGGTGTTTTGTAGGTAGCTGAGGCGGTTGTGTGGTAGTGATGGTTTGTGGGGAGGTGGTGGTTCTTGTGACGGTGGTGTTGGAACTGGTTGTCGTGAGGTGGTGGTGGTTCTGGCAGCGTCGGAGGCGGTGGTGCTGCGGGAGCTCGTAAGTGTTGGTGGTGATCATCAATTATTTAGTCGATTGTAACCATTACAATGGTTAATCTGTGACTAAAAAATAATATGTGATAATGAAAAAGATAATTTGTGATCATGAAATTACATGTGACCTAAAAAATTGTTTATTTATAATCGATAATTTGATAATTTGTGACGGACTAATATGTTGTGACTCATCATATTTGTGATATGTGACCTATTGATTTTTTTATTCACACACTATGAAAACTTTAATCTGTACCATAAAATAATTTGCGACCTATAAAGTTTTATGAAATTTAATCTGTGACCAATTAATTTAATAAAATGTAACCAATAAATAAGTTGTGACTCAGAAGTATGTATCTGTGACCATGGATTGTATAATTGCAATTTTAATATATTTAATTAATAAAATATACTTAATTAATTAATAAATACCTGATTTTTGTAAATTTTAAACTTAAGGCCTGAAATTTGAATTTGGGAAACTTGAGACCTGATTTGTGAACTCTTCCCAAAAATATTTTTGGCCCCCTAAAGAATTGGGCCTGAGGCGGCGGCTCTTAGGTCTCTCCTCAGGTTTGACTCTGGATCGGGGTTTTCTCGGCTGGAGGAACAAGAATTGGCTGCCCTTTATTGACAGTGAATTCAAACACTTGGCTGTTAGTGCTTGATATTTCCATCGAGTAATATATACCCCTCAAGAACTCCATCTAAAAACTGAGTACTCAATGGTTAATCTTATTCAAAAGGAAAATTGTTTAAAACTGAGTAGTGAAACTCGAACGGATTGATTATCTTAGTCGAGAAGAAACCTACTCAAACTGAGTACCAAAACTTGCCTACGTTTGTGAAGAAGATGGATGAGTTTTTATCTATGTTTCCCAAATGAAAAAAGTGTTATGTTTTGTTCATAAAAATTGCGGCATTTGATGCATATGTACAAAGCAAGAAGCCATGAAGGAGTCTTCCTCTAGGTTTTCTAAGATTGGTCGTCATCTTTTGTGTGTTCATGACCTTTGCCTTATTATCTGGTTCAATTATGTTCTTATCAATTATGTGAAATTAAAGATGAAAACATAAATTGGTAAATGTGGTTAAAAGATGATAAAATTTAAACAAATAAATATGTTTGCCCGATGTATTGAGAATTGAAAAATTGGTTTAGTATAACATCGAAAGTGGTAGATTTCAATAGAATATCAAGTATACACCATACAATACTCTTTAATTAAATTGAATACCAGGAATAAATTAAAATTTTATAAGAAAATGTATTGTGCCCTTGTTTGAGCCTCATTTTTTGAAAAAAATTGCATTCTTCAATAGTGTTTTAACCATATTCAACCACAGGTTTTTCAATACAATAATATTACATGCAATTTTTTTTTTTTTTTAACCACACAGTTCCCATCAATAGACAATTCAAAAAAGCATTTTTTTGGGACAAAAATTGGGCTCCAACAAGTCCTAAGCTCTTGTTCGGTAAATCTATCTTTTAGATCTTAAGCTGGTTAAACTTAATTTTCAATCATATATTCTAATAAATACAAAAGTACTATTCACTTTTTAACTATACACAACAACTTAAAATCTCCAAAAGTTCAAGCAAATTTCCAAGAGTTCAAAATAAAAAATATACTGATTTACAAAAAAAATAAAATATGGACTAATTGATAAAGACTTAAACGAATCTCAATGTTTTATATAAAATAATCGAAAGTCGTACCGTAGTCATGTTCTGTAAACAAAACCCCATAACCTTAACTTTGGTGTTAAAAAAAATGCACTGAAGGACTAGTGACTAGACTATTAATAATATCAAAATGCAAGAACATCAAAGTACTGTCGATTGGGGATTTTACCGTGTTTAAAATTGTGTTATATAATTTGTGAATCGTTGAAATTATAGCCATGCTCGTTGTTGGATGCAATAAGGCCATTCTTTGTGTAACCCTTTTTTATTCAAGCGGGCCCCACCCCCCATGTGAGGGGGGTGTAACCCCTTAGGTACACCACTTGATGTACAAGTGGAATTACCCAAAGAAAAATAAAGGGGACCTCGTACACTATACTAATGAAATGAAACCATTGGAGAACCTGCTCCATACTAAGCCCCTCTTTGGTTTGAATTAAAATTCAATTAAAATCTCAAGTCAAAATCAACAATTAATTTTAACCACATATTTGTGGGATCCACAACTTTTTAACCCCACATTTCATCAATTTTTATCAAAATTTACTAAACATCTGATTTTAATCTCTATCAAGCAGGGCCAAAATGAATGGCCCAAAGCAGTGGTGGAGTTAGGATTTTAAGCGGTGACAAAAATGTTAAGGGGCAAAATATGTGTTATGTTATAAAATTTAAAATTTCTACATTGAATTTAAAAATGTTGCGAGAGGTTGCCAATCTCGGCTCCCTCTAGGTTCGCCTCTGTCCTAAAGTAGAGAGAGTTATTTTGACAACCGCGTGATTCTAGCTGGGAGTAATTTTAAAGAAAGCAACTTACTTGAGCCACCATGGGAGGAATTTCCTGTATATTTTCAGCACCGGAATATCATAGACAAGCTGACAAAGCATCCCGTTATCAGGCTTTATAATATCACCTAAATCTCATTATCCAATACTTGTTACTTAATTAATTGATGAATCTCATTCTTTTGGCTCTCCTTTTGTGTGTGACCCATCAGGTTCCCGATCACGATGTCTAATGGCGTGAATTATTATTTGATCTAATCAAAATTGATAAATTAAAATACCCAATTTTAATTTATCATCAATTCACATTCGTCGTCCCAGATTCACATCTAGCAATCTGTCAGGACAATATATATGACTGGAAATGTCATGTGGTATGACAAAATCAAATTAGTTTGTTTACCGTGAAACTATAATCTCTTCGTCAATATGATCCGATCAATTATGAGATATAAATGTGCGTCAATCTCAATTATCGACCATATCTTTCATCCCACTATTAAGTCAATATAAGTCGAAAACTCATTTTTGACTAATGATTACACTTTGGCCAATGATTTCATTATCAACTTAACAGAACGAAGTGTAGATCTATCTCTTACTATCTAAAAGTGACGAATTCTCTATTGATCATTCACAACCTTCATATGATTCTTGACATACCCGAACGATACCGTATTAGCGACCATTGGCAGAGTAACATCAAATATCACCAAAGTCTGACTGTCATCATATAAGGCACTATGATGACCTCAATTCAAAGGACCAATTTCACTACTTAACGTTAGAGATTAACTACTGACACTCAGATAGTTATCCATGTGGAATCTCCCTAATGGGTTTGTTCTATAACAAAACATCAACTGTTCATTTAAGTGTTACCACACGTTAACTTGTGAGATCAGCTATTTAGGTCATAAGTAACAAATGCCATACGTAATGGTCCATCTGTAATAATGATATCCGTATCTCGTTATTACATACGATCACAGATGATTTGAAATCCAGTCATATGTAGTTTGTATCTCACAATCACAACTCCTTATGATTAACAAATTATCAAGACTTGAATTTACGGATTCTACTATTTAATTTGTTAAAATATTACTTCAATTAAATAATAGATGTTTCCATAAATATGCATCAATTATATATATATATATGTATATAAGAGTCTACATGACGATCATGTTAATGCTGCGACAACCCTTTTTCAATGGATCTGTAATTTAATACCTTGTGGGATTCCTTCTTTCTTTAAGTCATTTCTTTGTATTATCTTTCCAATGAGATAATACCGCATTAACACATATTTAGATCATTGATGAGACATTAGTTCCTTCGCTTGCACGATAGCTCCATTGTTATCACAATGCATAAGTATGTGATCAACAATGTTAGAAACTATTCCAAGTACATTGATGAACTTCCTAATCCAAACCACAACTTCTGTTGCTTTTTAAGCAATGATGTATAGAGCTTCTACTATTGAATCAACGATTGTTTCCTATTTGGAACATTTCTAACACACTGCTTAAGAGTGAACCAATATCCTGATTGATATATGCTATCATTATAGTATGACTAGAAATTAGCATCAGTGTATCCATGAACTCTCAGTTCATTTTTCTCCATATAAAATCTTTTTATCTATATAGATTAAGATGAGTGAAGTAATTTTCTAGATCTATCTTTATAGAATCTTTATAGATCAACTTGCTTTTCCCATATCTATCAAGAAAAAATTATTTGACAACCATAATTTCAACAATTAAAATATAGAGATGCCATTTCCTGTTAATAATGTCTTATACATAAAATATTAGGAATGTGACAATGCTCCCACTATCTTCTTGTAAACATATAGTTCGTCTTCATTTTTGATAAAAACAAACATTTTGATTGTCTCATCAAATTGAAGATTCCATCTCATAGAGGCTTGCTTTAATCCATAAATGAATCGATTAAGCTTGTATACTTTGTTGGCTTCATTGGATTCAAAACCTTCTGGTTGTGTCACGCACACTTTCTCTTGTAAGT